TGACAGCGTGTTGCAGCATCGCGGCCCGCAGAGGAGAGATGCATGTTGCCACTCCCGCTGGGGCAGGGCCCTGGCCCTGGCCCACGCTGCAATTGATTAATGTCAGAGCTGCAAATTAAGCCTGAACAGTCTGTGAACACTTTTGGCCTTCATTTTTTGGGATTTTGCTTTGCTTGTTGCCACCAAAAAAGAAACAAAAAGGAAAAAGCGATACACTCGCACGTGTGTGCCACCTTCGAGTGGCGGATGTGTGTGATGCTTCATTAGTGCTGACATTTGCCCGGTGGCACAAAGGAGCTTCAGCTGGTGGCTCTGCGGTGACGTGAACTGTCACCAGCAGAACGGGATGAGGGAGTGGGGCGAAGGTGAGGGCGAGGGTGAGAGTGGGGGCCTTGCCCCAACCCAAAAAACTTGGGGAGACCCGCTGGCCTGTCACACCCAGTCACAATCACAGCGGCAAAAGTTGCCAAGCGAAACTATTTTCCATGAAACGAAGTGGGTTTTGGCCCAAACCGAAGCCACTTGGAGTTGCTCCAATAATTCCTTCTGCTAACGATCTTTGTTGGGTTTTGCCCACGACTAAATGCCGGGCCAAGAATGCAAGCCAGGTCTTTATCTAGGGGCAGTGAAAAAAATGTGTCTACCTAGTCATGCATTTCTACTATTAGGTCTTGCAGATCTTCTGCACATTTTGTTCAGTGTGTTTGGAGGAAAATCACGATTCTTCCAGGAGCCAGGGCACCTTGCCCCGGAATGGTCATGACAACGAGGCCTCCGCCTTGCAACTATCCGACGAGCATCCGACCAACCGACTATCTGGCATCAGCAGATGCTGGCTCGCTTTGAAATGTTTAGCCAGCAGACAAATAAGTTGATGTTGATTGTTTTTGCTTGGATGTGGCACGTAAACGATACTGACAGTCGTCGGGCAGGCCAACATGGGCCACGGGGATCCATCTGGCCGGGGCGAAACTTAATTTCTACATTTGCCGGCAGATAAAGCCCAGAGTGGGTAAACTGGTAGCACAGTGGGCCAGAGCCAGCGATCCGAGCCACGGTGCACGCATCCAGCACGCACCTCCTCCATTAGACGCTCTTAGTGATTGTTAAATTCCAATTAACAACTTTTTTCTGGCCGGCGTTCGGACTCGGACTCGGGAGTTCAAGAGTTGGAAGATGGAAAGCCAGAAGCTGTAAGCAGCAGGTTGGCCTTAAAAGGCCAATACCAATCTGCCGGATTCGATCCACTGCCCTGAGACTATGGCTCAGACTGAGACTAAGACTGAGAACAAGTTGTTTTGCCGGCAATCCGGCTACCCGGTTGACAACGTTAATTGAACCCGCACACACTGGGCGCACATCGAAAAAGTCGCATAAGTTTTGTAGTTTGTTTGTTTTTGGCTGTGCCTTGGTGGCATGTACCCTCCCTCCCCTTACCTCCAGTCCAAGAGGCAACTGTTGCAAGCACTTGTCGTGTGAGTCACGTCGCGATTTGTTGATGATTTTTCCTGCATTGTAATGCTTTATGGAGGCCCCATAACAATTAGTTTTAATTTTCCTGCATTTGCGTATGGTCAGTCTGGCCTTAACATTTGCCCACTTGGCTTGGCTTGGCTACTAGGCTCCACAGAGGTAATGAAAATTAATTGAAAAATTGATTGAAATTGTGCACTGAGCACTGAGCAGTTCAATCAGCGCGAGTCTCATCGCTTCTGTTATTGTTTAGAATTTTTTGTTTGGTTAAAGGGGGAGAGCTCTTAGGCGCTTTGGCCACGGCTAGAGCTACGGTGCTGACCGAAATAGCTCAAAATTGCAATTAATTTCAAAAATGCTTTATACAATAAACACACAATCCACTATGATGATGATGCTCATCAGCCTGAATCAATATTTCCCACTGACTATTAGAGAAGCTGCTGAAATTTTTGGACAGCAAATTAATTTGGTAACTGGGCGGGAAATAGGAAATATCAATCAAAGAGCCAAAGCCGCGATTGAAGGGCAGATGCCAATGTTTGATTGAAAAGGGTTCCAGGGCCAAATTTGCAAAAACGATTCTCTTTCAAATCACTCGACAATTGCTTTCCACAAAACGTTATTATAATCAGAGAAATTCTCTTCCCAAAATAGCTTCCCACCGTTGAAATAAAAAATATCTGGTAATGGCACAATAATTTCTAATAAATTACCATTTATATTAGGTTAAAGTATGCTAATGAGTTTTTATGGCTTGCCATTGAACATAAATGAAACATAAATATTAGAGTTTATGATTCCCGCCAGGTGCTGTTTTGGCACCTAATTTATTAAATGTGTTTTTAAATCATTATGCTAAGGTAGACTAATGGAATTAAATGGCCTAATTAAGATCTAACCAAAGGGACTTTATCTGTGAGATAGCATTATTTGCCCTGGTGCATCCAGATACTTCCTGAATTATTCTGCTCTGCGGCAGTGATTTATGGATTGTATCTTGCGGTCTCGGAGTCTCAGAGCTTCTGAGATGCACACTGCACCCATAAACTATCTCCGACAATATTTACCTATTACCCACCGCATTCTGCGCTCACGTGGACATGAACAGAAAATCTGAATAAAGTATAATATATCTATATAAATGCATTTTCCGGCGAACGGCTAAGAGCTGTTTGCTTCTCCAGAATATATTGTTTAAAGTAAAAGCAAATTCTGGCTGGGTGGATGATAGACGTGCTACACAATTGCGAAATGTATCTTTGCCTAGTATCCGTGACATCTACGCTGCAGTTTTGGGCGCCACGTAAGCGGCTAATAGCTACTGGCAAATACATGGCCGAAAGCAAACAGCAAATAGCCAAATTGTTTGCTTTGGCCCCCAGGCTCAACTTGTTACAGTGACAAATGGCAGCAGATACATCATGATCGTCGGTATCGGCCAAGTCTCGGTAATGATAGTGTCGCGTCGTGCCGTGAAATCATCATGATTTCATTGAGATTGCAGACTGTGCACCTAACAATTAAAGACACTTTGGCCAGATCGCAAGATTTATGGCCTTACAACGTGCGTCAGCGTTCCAGCATCAAATTGGAAAATCAGAAATCAAACGAATCGGACTCGGAATCGAAATCGGAATAAAGGAAATGCCATTGCTGATTTATGCAGCTGCTCTGGCTTTCTTTCAACAAAAAAGTCAATTTACATTGGCCGTCACCCGAAAACTAAATCCTTTGAGCATTTTTCCCCAAACAGAATTTGCATAATGGCCAGAGTGGAATATCTTAAAGATTTCCCTCTTATTTTTAAGGCTCAAAAGCCAGGACCTTAGTCAAACAAAGGAGTCATAATTTCCGGCTTCCATGTGTGCTTGTGAGTGGGTGGATGGGTCTTTGAAATATTTTTCCCATTGTGAGTTGGCTTACCGTGTTAAGGAGGCTCGCACAAGGAATTCCGCCGCCTAGGCAGCCCGTCGCATATCCTGCGGCGTTGCAGTCCTTTCTGGTCCTGCCTGCCTGCCCCTAGAGTCTTGCAGCCGCCTTGGCGCGTTGACGTTCCCAGCAGTTAATTGAATTAGTTGTTAATTTATGGCTATGTTTCCACTGGGAATTTCGAGAATGTAAAAATGCTCAGAGTGCGGGGTGCTAAGGACCTCCCGACTGTTCCAGGCTCGACTGCGGGACTTGAGTTGATTAAATGCCTGCCACTTAAATTGGCATTTAAGCGACGCGGCTCACACGCGAGTCCGGAATGCGGAATCCAGAATCCGGATGACAATAGCGTCGAAGCAAAAAAAATAATCAAAATGAAAAGCAATAGAACTGGGGAGTCGCCACCGCCTCCGGTTCTGCGCGACAAAGAAACACACACTTTCAATGGGCGAGCAAAAAGTTTTTATTGTGCACCCATTTAGTTTTTAATGAGCGACGATTCCCGCACACGGATTCGAAAAGAAACGGTTCTGGAGCGGAACGCATCCGTCGGATACGTTCCGAATACGCGACAGTTGGATGGCAACTGAAGTCCAACACGAACCGAACCAGCCGGCATTGGCCCGTCTTATCACAGGCGGGTCTTTGGCAAAATGTTCCGGCCAAGCTTTCCGCAGAAAGCTTACTCGCCTCAGATTTCCCACTGGGGCTCAACTTTGTTGCTCGCAACTTGTTGCACGATGTTCGACGACGGTTCTGATAAGCGATTCTAATTTAATTGGCTCTTTAATTCATTTATAGGCAGGCGCCGCTCATTAAACTCGACTTTAATCGCCTCTAATCTCACATAATCTTTCAAATAGTCGCCGAATTCTAATTTCAACTCAGCCTATCAGGGGTATTTGAAGCGTTTTTGTTCGGTTTTTGAATGCTGAACGGGTAAACACTTTCGATTTATTATGAACACTTGTTGATAGCCCTTTTGCTTTAAGCTATCAAGATGAGCAAGAACAGAAGCCAAGTACATAACTCAAAAAAGTTGTACAAGCTTTTATCAAACGAGATTAGAGGATGTAGACATCAAAGCTTACAGGTCCTGTAACATGTAAAAGGTCCTCTACACTTCTTTTAATCAAACATAAACCTTTACTATAGTAACTACATATAGTAACCCCATTCCCATATGATTCATAAACCTTCAAAACTAAGAACCCAACCCCATGATGGATGACTTCCCAACCAATCTAGTTAATAACTCAAATAACTTTCAGGCGTTTAGATAAAGCTTAGCCGAGATTGGAATCTGAGATATGCGTGCCACTTGATAGATAGTTTCGCACTCTGTATGGACAGGCAGATAGTCAGAGTTCTTGAGATAATATATCGCGGTGTCTGGTAATTGTCACCTTACTTGATAAGTAAGCAATTATCTCCGATTCATGGACTCTCCCATAGAAGAAAGAAACCGAAAGGTTTGGCGGGTAAAAGCCCTAAAGTCTTCATGGGTCTTCAGGTCTTATATTTGCCAAATCAGTCTCGTAGGCGTATCTCTTTGATTGCCCGCCGCTAATGCTTGAATAAATATTCATTAAATCTTTTGATTAAAGCTTTGTTTTTATTGCAAATTTCTTTCTTTGTTTACAGTGCTATCGAGGAGCATTTCACCATTTAATCGACGGTGTAAGTGAAGGCAAAACCCGCCTCGTTCTGCCTGTAGATATCATCGCTGTTGAAGAGAACCAGCAGGGGGCCAGGATTGTTACCTGTTGTTGGGGAATATTTTGGTTAGTAATGGTACATAGTTTGGAACTATAATATAGCAAAAACCTCAAAAAATAATCCCTCATTTTATTTTGTTCCAAAACCTTGCTGACTAGTCTTGCCCCAAAGCTTTTCCCCAAAAAGCTCGCCGCTACTTACTCGATATCACCACGTCCTTCTTGATGGAGCCACAGAAGTAGGTGGCGTGCTTGTGGCTGTCCTCCATGGTGGCCTGGGGCACCATCAGGAAATCGGCGTCAAGGTCGTTGGTGCTATCGGCGCTGTAGCAGGACTCGTCGGTCAGCAGGGTGGTGGCCTGCTCCTGGGCACCCACGTTGAAGTAGTAGGCGCGAATGCTGCACAAATCACAAAATTAAATAATAAATCTTTGAAATCAGTAATAGTTAGTAGGCCTACTTAAGGGCAGTGGTGTCCGTGTCGCGGCGGAAGCAGATGGCGTAGTTCATGCGGGATGGGTAGATGCCTTGGCCTTCGTTGTAGTTGAAGGACTTGACCACGCCCTTGGACTGGGGGAAGTACTGCAGGCAGCCGGGAGGGGCCACATAGAATCCGTCCTTGGTGCTGGCGCTGGCGCGTCCCTCGATGGTGGACTCCTCATCCAAATCCAGGGAACGCACCGAGGCACCGGCGGGGCACTCCAACTGGGTCACAGTCATGTCCCAGGTGGGAGTGGGCAGGTCAGTGTAGCCCACACGATTGGCCAGCGAAATCAACAAATCCACTTGGGTGTCGCCATCGGTGGCGTTGAAGGGCACATAGATGTGCTGCCACACTTCGGTGCCGCAGAGTCGCAGGCCGTTGACCTCGAAGTAGTCCTGGGTGCACTCGGCGTAGCTCAGTCCCGAATCCGCCTGGGTCTCCAGAGTGGGCTGGGCCAGGGTCATGGCAAAGTCGATGCGCAGTTGGCACACGTACTTGTTGTAGGCCTTGATGTGGTACTCGCACTCCCGGGGCGCGTTGGATGGGTTAACCAGGTTGATTTTCTTCGAGGACGTACTACCGCCACAGGTAGGGGTGGCCACCGAGGCTGCCTGGACGGCGGCTGCGGCCACCACCAGCAGGAGGAGCAGGCTGCTTGCAACGCGGTTCATCATCGTTCTGACTTTCAGTTCTGGCCAGTCGGCCGGCTTTTATTCGCTTCGATTCGGCCAACAATCACAACTGTCGATGGCTATTGTCCGATCCAAGTCGAAGTGTCCGATTAAAAGTACGAATAATGTCAGCAAACATGATCGATCGATTGTTTTTATCGCCGAGCTTTCCCCAAAGTGCCACCTGCAAACATTCAGCGTCAGTTTATTAAAATTTAAAACACCATAAACAAGAAGGTATTTTAGTATATAGCTTAAAGTCAAGTGGCTTAGAGTGATAATTTTATTGAGGCTTTTGACTAAAATTAATCAAATTATTTCCTTAACTTGTTTTGAAAGAATATATTTCATTTCATTGGGGTTATCACTGGAAAAGTATGTCCCACAAACAAGGCCTATTTAAAGCCCCTAGAATCCCTGGGATTATCGATAATTTTAAGCCCGTGGGACAGTCTTATCAGCCAACTGTCCAGATATTTTAAACATCTATCAGTTTCGGTTGATAGACAGTTTCACTTTATTTTTAACCATAGACGTATTACCCCAGAAAATACTAGAATATAGCTGGAACCTTGACTGCATTTATCGTACTGGTTGCTCAAATCTCTGATTGTGCAATTTGGCTCTAATTGGGGTCTTGTTATTCTCACACACCCACTTTTCTTTTTCTCTTTTCACTTTTTGACATCATCATCGTTATGGTGTCACTTGCGGCGATGATAGAGACACCTCCGGAGTTTACAGATCTAGACCCTTTTTGGCCCGGCTCTGAGATTGAACAAACATAACCCAGTTTCGAGATATTTTAGATCAGAGTACTGGACACTCGTCGAGGTTCAATGACTCGATCGTTAGTCAAACACGTTAATAGACGCAACTAGCCGGGTTTGAATATTCATGCCGGTAAGTGACGAACCAACTGGCTACCAAATATTGACACGCCGCTGCTTCTAACATGAAAATCTCATCATCGCATCGCTGCCAGCGCTTGCCAGAGTATCTTTGCTTGTCAGTGTATCTGTATCTGTGGGATTCTTCAGCCGGAGAAGTGGTATAAAAGCCATGGGTCCCCCCGAAAACTCACACAGTATCGAAGTGAAAGTGCGTGGGCGAAGTGAGTGAGAACCGGGATTGGATCGACTACGAAATACAAGGATTATGTTTGGATATACTGTCTTGCTGTGGATTCTCGGGCTCGTGGCCTTTGCGCAGGCGCAAACGCTGAATGAAACGAGTGGTGTGGTGGCGCCTCTGGAGCCTGGATTGTGGCGCCAGGGCCGAAGAAGGAGTGTTCTGGCAGATACCTGCACCACCAACAGCGGCACCACCGGAACCTGCCTCACACGCTTCAAGTGCATGCGGCAATCGGGCACGGTGAACGGATATTGCGGCACCTACGGTGTTTGCTGTGAAAGTGAGTGATGTTTGATTCAAGAATTGCTTAAAAGTATTGCTTAATTTTCATTCATGATTAGCCAACCTCCAAGTGGGCGCAACAACCCGCCAAAAGCGATCGATTATCAAGAGTCCTGCCACATTCGCCACCGACCAAATCACCTACACCATCGAGGCGATGAGCAACAACGTCCAGCAGCTTCGCATCGACTTTGAGCAGTTCGAGATGGCGCAGCCTGTGGACACTGATGGTGTCCTGGAGTGTCAGGACTACTTTGAGGCTGGTGGCTTCAAGTTGTGTGGGGTGAACAATGGCCAGCATCTGTATCTTCCCTTCAACGCGGCCGCCGGAGTGGAGCAGGTCACCATTACCTTTGCGGTGCCCTCCCAGTCGACGGGAACCAATTGGCGACTGATTGTGACTCAGCTGGAGGGTCCTCCCATTTCCAGCAAACGTCGCCTTACCTCCGCAGGATTCGGAGCCAGCACCAACTCCTTGCAGGATCTGAGGGATATTTTCGCCTCCCACCACGCGGACTACGAGCTTTTGGCTCCTCCGGGCTGCCAGCAATACTATACGGGGCTGACGGGTACCATTCGCAGCTTCAACTTCCAGACTTCAGTGACTAGCAACTATATGCCCGATCTGAGCTATAATATTTGCATTCAGTCAGCGACCAGTGCCAACATGATCGAGTAAGGCTTTTAAAGATATTAATGTTGAAACTTTAAACATTTATAAAAAATATCTATGTCGTCCAACAGATACAGCTTCAGTCAGTTCTCCATGTCTATACAGGACGGCACCACCGAGGGTTACGATGAGTTCTGCCATCCCACAGTCCACACGGCGGGTAGGCAGGAGGACTACCTGATGATACCTCAAGGAATTTTGGCCAAAAACATGGCCTACCAGCCCACATACTATTGTGGCACTAACGATAATCTAGTGGTTTATGGTGAGTTTTCCTTAAGGAACTTCATAATAAATATCTATTCATGATATCCCATCCTCCAGCTTCACCACCTTACTTGCTGCACTTCTCCAGCGACGACTTGACTCTGGATAGGTCTGTGGAGACTGGGTTCAGCATGACTTACCGCCTAAGAAACTCACTTCTTTAATCATAGCGACTATTAAATAATATCAGATAGGTTTGCCCGCAGGGCACACTAGAATTTAATAAACTCGAATGTCTTTAAGCTGCTGTTTGTTGTGTATTCAGTTAATGAGCTTGTCACGCCTCAAATCGAGGGGATTATGACAATTATGGGGAGGGGCCATGGGTGGGTGATGGTCCTGCACACACACAAGCACACCACACAAAAAGTTCGAGAAACGCATTAAGGAGCTTGTGCGGTCAGCGACACGATTATCCTTTTAGTTGCGTAATTAGTGTGATTAAAGTCAAGAGCTTCGAGGCTCGATGGGGTGCCAATACCCCTCGCCAAACAACATACCATACACAGCCCGGCACAATGGAGGGAACAACGCCAAACAAATAGAAATGTATAAAATGCGCCATTGGCAGCTTTGAGTGGTGAGCATCGAACCGCAGCAAGCCCCAATAGCCCCTTACGCTCCGCCACTGGCTCCACCTCCGCCACCGCCGTCTCGGCCTTTCACTTTGACAAGGTGTTAGTTTTGAGAGTCTGCTAATTGACGGCTCGTAGATTCTTCGGCCACCGATCATGGCTCATTTGGGCCGGCAGACGCTCTAGCACCTGCTTCCGAATTTCTGGAACCACTCATTCTCATAATCACTCTCACCCACTCCATGCCGAGCCACTCAATTCTGGTGTAAATTGTAAAATAAGCCAATCAGGCACAGGCCCAGTCCCAATGGTCAATATTGATGATTGGTTGGGGGTCTCTTTATGGCTGGATTAGCGTGTTCGCACCTGCTATGAGGTAGAAGGGTTGGGGACTAGGGCTAGTCCTGCCAACTAGCCACAGCCCGGCTTTAATGGCTGGCTATGGTAACAAATAAAGAATAAAATAAATACCATTAAAAAGTCGAACAATAGATGTAGGGTATTTATGAGGAGGTCTCCAGAGATGTTGTTGGGGAAAGGTATATCGGTTGGGTGGTCTTTTAGTACAAGACTTGTAGCCTTTAGAAATGAGTTTAATAATCCTTTTGTTTTATTTTAAAAACTAAGACTAACAATCAAGGTATTTAATACAAGCTGCTAATGTCTAGAGGAAGATCATGGAAGATAGTTAGATATAATTATACATATTTGTTAACTTCACTAACTCACTAATTGTCTTATTATAATTTAAAATATTAACATTGGTTAAACTTTAAGGCTTCACAAGTTCAAATAAAAAAATATATTTAGTAACCAATATCGGTAAAGAATGTGGTAGCCCACTTCCAGGGCATTTAACGGTCGCTGCACTTGGCTTAATTTCCAGTAAAGCCATCCCTTTTCGGGCCAAACAACAAGCCATAAAGCAAAGTTCGCTGGAATGGCTAGCAGCGGCCTGGTCAGGTACAAAACTGCTAAATGTTGCTCATAAATTAACGCCAAACTAAACTGCAGGCGGGGCGCCACCCAGGGGCGGCTAAGGCTAAATGCTGTGAGTGGCAAAAGATCGACGACAACGGCAACGGGAACAACAGGCGGGAAGCATCAGCGCCGCAGCTGCAGTGAAAATAACGAAAATGCATTTTAAAACAACCATCCCCCAACCCCCCTACTGGCCATCCGAAAGCAAACGAGCCAAAAGAAGAAAAAGAGTTGCAAGAAAGAAAGGGCAAGGGCAGCGTTCCAGTGGACTGGCCACTCGCCGGCATCCTTTAGCCGTATCCTGGTGGTGTGTCCGTGTGTTTAAGTAATGATTTTGCAAAATATGCGCAAAAGTGCCAACACCAGCACCCGGCAATATGGTGCCCCAAATGGACTGTAACCGGAAGTGCGAATAGTATGCAGCTGGGACGGCCACTTGACCAAGATAAGATACTGTTTCGATTCGGGGCTTAAAGAGCTTCAAGTTAAAAGGCAGGGCTAATAAGCGAGAAGGCTAAAAACTCGGCCACATTCGAAATGCAAGCCAATTTGTCATGGACGGCACGGGTGAGCTACTCGGTGGGGAAAAAGTAATCTACACTGAGGGAAATTTTAAAAGATTTCTTTTAATTAAAGTTAAAAAGAAAATGGTATTTGATTATTAAAATAATTTGTATTTTATTCAAAATTTTAAACGCTTATTCTCTTACTGTGCCACTAGACCTGCCCCAAATGTTGGCTCATAAATGTGGCACTGTAACGCACCATGTAAAGCAGACGGCTATCTGCCCCCAGAAAACCGTCTCCCCCTTGCCTGGTTGTTGTTGTTTTATCAACACATTGTCGCCAACATGCAGGCTCATGAAATGAAACGAAAATATGTCCTTTGTGGCATGGTGGGTGGTGTGGCCCTTTATCGGGCGCCACCCAACGAAATACGGCACTGGGCGGCGGGCTGCTCTCATAACATTTCTAAAGACAAAAACGGTAAAATCGAAATACAATTGCAATGCAGAGAAAGCGACAGGGACGGCGATAAAAGTGAGAGCGAGAGACCCCCAAACAAAAAAAAGGAACGTTACTGGAACCACTCACGTGTGTCCTGTGTGTGAATTTTTGTTGATTTTCATGGCATATTTTACACAGCCTGTAAATACACACGAAGTGGGTGTGTGGGTGTGGGAGTGTAGGGTGTAGGGTCTAGGTGTGCGGGTGGGTGTGAGGGTATGGATGTGTGCAGCAAGAAATAAAATTGAAATGAAATATGCAAACATGAAAAATATGCGCCAGCCTGAAAATATGCTACGAAAAAATTGCCAGTTCACCGGGAGGCCCAAACGCACACAGCTACATGCAGCTCATACACTCACAAACATGCACACACACACACACACAATAACATTGGCCACTCGGCTGCGATTTATTGCATTATCAATAAAGTGAATAAATTTTGAGGTTATTGTGGCGTGATAACGGCAATTTTTGTACTTGCTCTTCTGTTTCTCCAGCATTCCAGCGTTCGAATGCCTGTGCTTGCATATGTATGAGTCTGTGTCCTGTGCCTGTGTGTGTGCTTGTCTCCCAACGGCGGACAAGGGGGCGTGGCTCTGGAATGGTAAAATCGTGTAAATGGCCCTGTTAATTAAAAAAATCACACCCATGCATATCGTCGATGCCAACAATTAACTGATTAAAAGCTTAAGCCACTTGGCTTAAAGACTTTCCAGACAAATTAAGGGGCTTCCCATAGTGGAGACATAAAGGGATATATATTTTAATGCAAAATAGTTTACTTGAATCGGAGTAGAAGATTATTTATAAAGTCTTTAAGATGATTTGTCTTAAGTTTCAGGGCTAATGGCTTGAGCTATCTATACATTTTAGAAATAACTTGGTAGAAGTTTTGAAAAATGGGATCTTAAATCTTAAAATCTTAAAAAGTATGTATAATTGGAAATTGTTTTTTTAATTTTGACAGCGCCCCACATTGACCCCAATTACTATTCGTCTATTTTCATGATATATTGATGCAGATAGGTAGGCTAACATTCTCTGATTTAAAAATGGTTTCCTTAAGAAAGAGTCTAAACCAGAGGTCGGCACGGCCCTATCTCGGGGGCAGAGAACGGCAACTTGCCACTCGCACAATGGGTGGCACGAAAAACACCGGGTATTTTAGGCACCCGAGTGTCTTTCATGCACGAAGTTTTGTGCATGAGTATTTACCATGCACGAAACTTCGGGTGTCTGGAAACACCCATGATTTCGGGTGCTTGCCTTTTTTTTACCCAGTAAGTTTCTTATGGGTGGATCGCAGGCACAAACAAAAAACGGATGGGTGGATCGCAGGCACAAACAAAAAACGGATGGGTGGATCGCAGGCACACACAAAAAACGGATGGGTGGAAGAAAGGCACACAAAAAAGATCATAAAACGATCGTAGGAAAGGGTTCTAGGAACCCGTGCACGAAGTCTAGACGCTTAGGTAGTTAGAAAAGGACAGAAAGGAAAGAAAAGGAAAAGGACAAAATCTTGAACGATCATTTTTTTTTACCATTTTTCTCTTTCCACTATTTTTTTTAGGGTGGCTGGTATGATCCGAACAACAAGACACATAGGCACAAAATCATGAGTGCAAGAAAGGCAATAGGCACAAAATCGTTATGTCGTTATTGCCTTTTTTGTTTTGTGTGGCGAGTGGTACTCGCACAAATTTTTATGGGTATGCATAGGGTGTCGAAAAGTGTCACCCGTGCCGTTCTCTGCTCACAGCCTACTTTTTGCTATTCGTTACTAACACTAATGCGGTAAAATCATATCAATGTATTGGGGTGCCGACCACTGTCTTAATTGAATTTTAACATAATATTAACATAACTGATCAAAACCTGACAGCCCTAAGATTCACGACAATCCTACAAATAACAGAGTTATCGTTTTATGAAATTAGCCAACACTAGAAAATTGTATAAAAGGCGAGTTCGGCCCACTACTACTTGCCAGTCTGATTTTAGGCCCATTCTGAAAGGAGTGCTTTCTTTTGTTGAATTTTTATTTTGAATTTTATTATTTTATTTATTTGTTTTTTTTTTTGTTTAAATCAGATCTGTAATGTTTATTATTTGTTTGATATTTTTTTATTTTGAACGCTTCGCTCGGTCTTACCAACCATAGGACAAAGTTCCTTAGAAAATTTAACTCCCTTACATATTTTGTATATGGTGACCTGGAAGCTCATGGGATATGTTCCACGACATGTGGATTGGGATCTGCTTTGCTTATTTTTTGTTTGATATTTTTTTTATTTTGATCGTTGCCCTTCGTCCTACCGACCATAGGAAAAAGTTCCTTCGAATATTTTGTGTTATTTTAAATTTTGTAACTCGCTTACACATTTTGTATATGGAGTCCTGGAAGCTCATGGGACATGTTCCACGACATGTGGATTGGGATCTGCTTTGCTTATTTTTGTTTGATATTTTTTTTATTTTGATCGTTGCCCTTCGTCCTACCGACCATAGGAAAAAGTTCCTTCGAAAATTTTGTCTTATTTTAAATTTTGTAACTCCCTTACACATTTTGTATATGGTGACCTGGAAGCTCATGGGATATGTTCCACGACATGTGGATTGGGATCTGCTTTGCTTATTTTTGTTTGATATTTTTTTAATTTTGATCGTTGCCC